GAGCCATCCCTGTGTTTGGCTCTGCCAGCTGAGCTGGCCTCCTACTTGCCCCCAAATGTACCCTTAGACTGCAGTCCTGTACCTTCTTATTTGCAAGTAAGCCTCGCTGAATTCAGTAGGACTTACATCCGAGTAGGACTGCACTGTTAGATTCTTAGCTGGGAATTGGCTGAAAGAGTTGGGTGAACATTTTTGCTTGCTGCAAAGAGCACACAGGTGATTATTTGGACACCACTACAAAGGGCAGGGGGGGTCCCTCTCTATGCTGGAGTGATTTGCAGATAGGGATCTCACTCTTGACCACTGCTTTCAACCGGTTGATTTACAAGGCTGAAGATGATAATCTACAAATTGACCAGAGAGGGTAGAGCAATTGTGCTGCACATCACATCCTTTGAATGAGCAAATCCATGTGCCGTGCAATCGCTCCCTTTGCCATCAATTGACCAGCATTTTTCTGGCTTAGAAGAGAAGCAATGAGGCCCTAGTTGGTTAGGATGCATCATATTTATGCTGTGTTCCCTAATTGATGGGGATCACATCATGGAGGAGGAAGTAGCAACCAAGGACAACAGTGGCTGTGAAAATGTCAAATAATAATCCCACAAAAGTTAAAAAGAAGGGGGGTTTAGAGGAACTATTCTGCCTTCCTGGAAAGGACAATGTTCCCTCTGAATACATTTGCAAGTAAACATTTGGTGCAATCCTGTTCTTAACCATGTTAACTTAGGAACACAATGAGAACATCTTTAATTCTGAGGAAGTAACAGAAGACAGGTGAACAGTGGAAATAGCTTGTCGTCAAGATGCAGTGTGCATGCTAATTAATTTCCCACTCCTCAGATCATTCATCTTCAAATAAGACAAAAAAGAGCTAACAGTCTGCACTGGGATGAATCATGCTAGGTGGGACAGATGTGGTTACCGGAGGACACCTGTGGTCAACAGTGACTCATCTCCAGTAAATGGCAACTTTTAAACTTTGTGAGAATATAATTTGTTGTTTAGCAACAAGATGGGTTTCTGTCAATAACCACATCCAGCATCACCAAAATTATCCTAGATCTTCTATGAAAGTGGCTTGATTTATTAAAGTATTTCTATATCACTTTTCACAAAATGTATGAAAATTTAAAACAACAAAGCTACATAAGAAATACAGATACATCATATAACAAAGCAAGAATAATTAAAACAAAAAGAAGGTGAGCTGGAGATCAAGATATTTGGCCAGGGTAAGTAGGGAAAAAACTGTTTTAGCGGGACTTACTTCTGAGTAAACATGCATAGGATTGTACTGTTATTTGCAACAAGCTCATTCAGATCTTCTTAAATGTAAGCTGAAGAGGCAATTCATAAAATGCTTTCTGGTACTTATTCTCTCTCCACTCGTGCAAGTCTGCTTGCAGGAGCAGTGGAACACGAGCGATCTGGGAACTCATTCATTATGGCAAATGTGACTTCAGGGACGTTTCGCTGTTTCCTTGATCACAGGATTTGCTGCAACTGAGTTCCCAGTTCACACGATACATTGCTCAGGGGAGTAGACCCAGTTGAACGAGAAAGGCAAAGAGAGGAATAAAATGTGTGAGTCAGTTCTGGTCCATAGATAAAAACAAGGAAGAAAGAACCACAATTGGCCAGTATTTCTGTTTTCCACTCTGCTTGTAATGAGTAACATCATTCCTATGGATCCAAAACTGCTAAAAAGCCTGGGAGATAAAAGAAAAGTATTTTCCTAGAGCTGAGAAAAATTGTAGTGTGGGCATCAGGCAAGTTTCCCTGGGGAGAGCATTTGAAAGGCCATGTACCCTGATAAATAAAGGACACAAAGAATCAAAGGAAGAATGGAAGATTTATGAAGGAATGCACGGCACAATAGGACTTTCAAACTCCTTTGTCTATTACCAGACACAAGATGGAGGGGACACCTGGTGAGATTTTTTTTTTAAAGATTGTGCTAAAAACAGATAAAAGGGTTCTGTTGAATGTGCAATTAATATGCTGAACTTATTGCAATAAAATGAGGTTAGTAATGATAAAATAGTGTTTAAACAGATGAGACACCAACATGAGAAGATCCCCTGTTGTTAGGTTGCTTTTTCAAAGAAAAATCACAGAAACATAAGGAGGAAGCATATTGTGAAATCATTCTGACAGTTAAATCATCTGCATGCTTGGTAGAGCTCCCCAAAGCTGTCAGTAGTATTTACTCCCAGGTAAGTGTGTGTAAGGCTGCAGCCTGAGGGTGGCATAGCACAAATGCAGCTATTGTACATTAGACTGCATTTTATTGCACTCTCAAAATACTTCCTTATGGAATACCAAGTTTGCATTTGCTCACTCTGTAAGGTACACACTGATAGTTTATAAATCAACAACAGCCCGGTAGAAGTTTACAACCAGAGCCAATCTCAATATTGCACTGTTACAGAGTCCTTTCATGAACTGTGTGCTAAACCACAGTAAATCAATCTATTGTTTTCTACTGGAAAGCTTGAAAGATAGATGCAGGAGTACCTGGTGTCCTGTTTAGGACTACAGTTCCCATCAGCACTAGCCAGCACAGTCAAGGGCCAGAAGTGGTAATCCAACAACATCTGGAGGGCACAATGTTGGCTACTCCTGTCATACAGGAAAAGTTTGTGGCACAAATAAAACATTGATAGGCTCCCCCTCCTCTTCAGAGCTGTTTACTAGAGACTTCAGATGCTGTTTACTGGAGACTTGAGACCCCATGTCAACCTTCTCCATAGCTTTGGGGAGCTCTCATTATGCAAAAAGAAAATTGCCATTCAGAGGGCTTTCTGAATGTGCTTTGTATTGTGATGCTTTTATAATACACAGAGGTACCATTCTTTGTATGCCCATGTACTTTTAATAAGAACACACAGTCTCTCTCCTTTTCTCTCGCCTTTTGTATATGTGGCAGAGACATAAAATACCTGAGTTACCTTTGATTTTCCTCCTGTTTTCACTAAAGCGATGGTTGGCAGCCAATTACCATCATTTAAATACTTAGCTGAATATAATTTTCAGTTTAGAAATATTTAGCCCGCTAGTGTGAGGTTTCTGTCAGGTCAGCTTCTCAGTTACAAATAGTCTTTGGAGTTTCTGCTGATAGTTTCACAGCAGTCTTGAACTGAGCACTGAATGTTCTTGGTTTTGTGGGGTGGTCAAGAGAGAGATAGAGAAGCCCTTCAAGAAGAAGAAGAAACCAGCTGCAGTCAGGGGATATAATAACATAAGAAGAGGGCCCTTCGAGTCCAACCCCCCTCCCCATGGTGGTCAAACAGATGCCACTAGGAAACCAACCAACAGGATTTAAGCATAAGAACATTCTCCCGTCCAGTGGTTTTCAGCAACTGGTATTCAGAAGCATAGCTGCCTCCAACCGTGAAGGCAAAGTGTATCCATCATGGCTAAGAGCCATCAATAGTCTTCTCCTCCATGAATTTGTTTAATCTTATGAAGCTATCTACATTGGTGACCATCACTGCCTCCCGTGCAATCAACTTTCATAGTTTGAAGAATTGCTTTCTTTTATCTGTCCTGAATCTTCCAACACTCAGCTTCATTAGATGTCTACAAGACCAGAGCCATACCACCACTCTAGCTGCTTCTCTTGGCTCAGGACATGGTCTGTTATATTCCATGGTGAGCTAGAATGGCAGGCTTTTCACGGCTGCCTGCTTCAAGGATTTTACATTTTCATACTGGTTCTTCACATGAACTTTGAAAACCATACAACTGAATGCTGGTAGAGATTCTGGTACTTGCATCCACCGACCGCACAGAATGGGCACAATCCTCTAGGAAGTTCATCTCCACAAGCCCCATTGAAATGAATGGGAGATGCACAAGAGCATGATGGAGCTGGGCTGAAGAACCTATCACGGAATCAGGCCCATGTTGATACCCAATTGGGAGTGCAATGGAAGTATCAATGGAAACATCTTGGGAGGAGCATCCCAAAATATACATAAATGCAAACAAAAACCTAGCCAAGTAAGCCACATTGCACATGGTGGTTCCGCATGAGTCCCTGGCAACAATGTGGTTCAGCAGAGGACCAATGTGTACCAGAGCACCTGAACAGCCTGAAATAACTTATATGATTCTCCAAGTTAGAGGCACATGGACTTCTGCAGTCCGTTAGACGAGCTCCCTCACACAAAGCATATTGAAACAAGATGGGGGTGCTAAGGAATGTTGAACATTACAGCTTGGGGGAAAAAATGCTGTCACATTGCAAATGATCTTCCTGCAATTCTTTTTCATGCATCTTACCCAGGCAAATCTCTCACATGAGAAAGAGATAGGATAAACAAATTGTCACACAAACATCTGAAGTACTGTTAAGCAGATTTGGATAATACTAGTATTAGCATCCTGGAGCTGATCTGACATGTTAATTAAAAGGTGCTGTTCCTTGTCTCACATGTGTTCCTGTTGGTAGGTTCTTATCAACAATGACAAGATTTATTAACACATTTGCACACACACGTGTTCATATATGCACTTGAAAGTACAAAAAGTTGTACCATCCAGCTTCAACTGGCAAACCTCCTGAATGGTGAAAGTATAACATTATTCAAGTAATGATGCTATAGAACTTTGACTTATGAACTGGAATTGCTTCTGTGCAAGTTATCACAAACTTTTAACACATCTGAATATGAATGGGAATCACAGTACACATCACTACAACCCACATTTTAGGAAGGGGGATTTGTGTTTTATTATATATTCATATACTCTTAGATACCCATAATCAGTTCATAGTTCAGTAGTCACTGGGGCCACAACTTAACACAATGCAACAATTCTTGTCTTTTGCCACAATGCTGCAGGTTGGAAAACCCCCTGTCACAAACAAAGATGGGGAAACACACACAGTGCCATTGTAATGAATCTGAACCATCTATCAAAATGAGAAGCAAATACATGTATATTCAAAGTTTTGCTTTTAGAAGATATGCACCAAAACTATTACTTACAGCTGGAGAATATCAGTGGGCATGAATGTTTATCCATTGGGAAGTTGTGTAGCTGCAGCTGACATTCAGCGTTGATAGTAAGCCTGGAGGGAAACCAAGGAGCTATTACTGTCTCCGTATGATGACAAATTAAAACAAGACAATATCTGGTGGAGTTTCCAATGCTCAACGGTGAAATTCTTTAAAATGCTTATTTAAAGTTGATGTTGGTGTAGGTTTAGTTGTATGCATTTGGTGACCTATGCAGTTTTCAGTAATATAGTTCTGGTTCATGTGTTACCAGTGGGAGCAAAAGAAACTTGGACGGTGGAGGAACTGGTAGGTTTCCCCTCCAGCATGACCTCAAAGAAAATGTACAGCACATTCTCCTCAAAAAAGTGTGACACATAGAGAAAACCCAGGCATTGACCAGAGGAGACAATCTTTCCCTTTGGTCCATGCCTTTAGGAGCTGGCTGCAGGAGCTTATATTAGCTTCCAGGACCAGGGTCAGTCCAAGCTGTGACACAACTATTTAGACAAACCAGGGAGCTGGCCAACTCCCACCTTCTATGTTAGAAGCACAATGTCAGCCTGCTAAAGAAAGCAGTGAACCAAGCACTTTGTGAGAGGTGTTGTGGTGGGGCTCCATTCTTTCTCCATGTGAGAGTCTCTTCTGCAGCTGGCAATGGGTGAATTGGGACACAGTTTATTTGTTAATATCTACCGTAAATTGCTGTGCAATTTCACTTCAAATTTTGCAACAGCATTTGAGAGTTTATGAACTCAGTTGAGAAGCTGATAGTACCTTAGAAGCTCACTTGGGGAGAGAACCAGAAAGTGACCTTTTCAAGGAAGTTATGATACATCTCAATTATATAATTTTTCACCCAAATCAGAAAAGGACACATGAGCTTAACAGGAAAAAGTAAAGCTTGGTATTCCTGAGGTCCCTGACTATGTTCATTTGATTGGTTGGTTGGTTTTGTAGCTTCTAAATGTTATGACCATTTCTATCACTTGGCACGGAGAGCAGCTTACAAATAATGAAGTATAACTTAATATAATGAGAAAATGCTCCAGATTCAAGGAAGTAACCTAAGCAAGATTATTGATACTCTCCTGCAGGGAGATGTGAAGCCAGTCTTGGGAAGATCTACAAGAGTGAGACAGTGGTGTGCAGTGAATTTTTTTGTTGGGCAAAAGTTAGGGCCAGAGGCTCCAGCTTGTGAGGGAGATTGAGGGGCTAGAGAGCTGCTGTCATGTGTGTAAGCATCACGACTCCCTCCTTAAGCCAGGCAGAAGCCTCCCTGGTTTTGGGAAGGAGGCGCCAGACTTTAATACTCTAATTTACCAGGAACATTTAGGTAACCTAGTCCTCCTAGTCCACTGACCACATGCTCCACCAGCCTCCTCCAGTCTGAGGGACAGAAAAGCCCTTATGAGGAACCTTCTGGGAGCTTCATGCCATGGGCAGGGCCAGACAAAAACAGTGCAATACAATGGGTGTATCGTATCTTGTAAAACAAGGCTCCATTCCAGCCTTGCAAAAGTCAGTGCTTTCTGCTCACACACCCCTTCCCATCCTCCACTCAGACAAGCAAGAGCTATTATCCTAGTTCAGTGACTGATTCCAGCTAGGAGGATTTGGAGGCAGTTGGGTGTGGAGGGACTGATTCTAGCAGTCAAGTAGGGCCAGAGAGAGATGCGGACTGAAGTGGAGTGTGGGCCTAGGGAGATTCCTGAGGGCCAGATAGAAAGGTCTGGAGGGCTGTAATTCCTGGAGAAAGTCTGGAGGAGGTTCCTGAGGGCCAGATAGAAAGGTCTGGAGGCCCCATAACCAAGATCCCCCCCTACCCCTGAGCTAGGATATAATATGTACGCTATCAACTATCAAGGAGGGAATAGTGAATTCAGTCAAGAATGCGCCATAGAAAGGCCCAAACAGAAGATACTGACTAAATAAAACAAATATACAACAATAAAAACCATGGTTAAAATCAAAACAAAATGAGCAGCATCTATAACAAATAATGCCCCTCCTCCAAGTCAATTCCAGCTATGATCCAAATGCCCGGATGAACAACAACAACAACAACAACAACAAACAGCATTTAGTCTTCATTTAAATATTTATGCTTTGGGGACAAACCTGATATCACCTGGGAGGAAGTTCTTCTGCATGTGGGGATGCCACCACAGATAAGATACAGACCATTTTTTAAAACAATATCTAATGATAGTGAATGGGCGTTGGGTCTTCAGAAGCTACATGACAGCACCACATGCTAGAGAAGGAAATGAAGGAGCCAGACATGGATGGACCACAAGGAACATCTACGCTGCATCATAAAGGCATTTCAGCTTATACCAAGCTATATGCACAACTTTATTACCCATATCCATATCTGTGTGTGCACATCAATCTGCACATGTATCTATGTGCCCAGTAATACCCCCTCTACTGAAGCAACTGGCAAATATTCAAGGTCAGAGGGGGGTTATTGGGTTTTCTTGTTTCCATGTTTATTATGTATTTTGTGTTTTTATATTGTGTTTTTATGTTGTGAACCACCCTGAGACCTGTGGGTATAGGGCGGTAAACACATTTAACAAATAAAATTAATAATAATGTCAATACTCTACAAATGTTGGCAACTGGTTGGTCAGAGCATTAAAGGCTAACATTTGAGACTTTGGTTTTGGTTCAGTTTTGGGACTGCAATTTATATGAAGGACAGCAAACCTTGTCATATCTGACTATAAAGATGTTGCTGTGTGCATCAGCACAACCCATTATGTGGGTCATCAGATCAACTTAATGCATTTCTAGAGGAACAGGTTGCCCAAAGAGTTTAACTCATTCCAGATCTAGGTCAAGATCTCGAGGATGATGCCAAATTTAAGCCAAAGTCTGCCTGCCTCCAGACATTATTTTATAAAGCGTGTTCTCCCTTGTGGAGAGCACATGTTGCGGTGGGGGCTGACGAGACACCTCACTGTTGCTAGGCAAAAGAGTTTGGCCATCTTTTAAGCAGGGGTGGGCTGTTACTGGGGAAATTTATATGTTGCCATTTATTGATTGACAGACCTATTTGTTAAATACATTGCATGCAGCGACGAACTTCCTCTTTTCGTTGCGTGCTTCGGATCACCCTCCCTCCCTCCCTAATGTTAGGCTGTTTGCTTGACCTTGCTATGCCTGTCATGGGGTCATCTGCTTTTGGGGCAGGGGCCCGCTAGGAATTTTGTCCATTTGGCAGATTGGCTGGTGCCATTTGGTTTTTGCCTACTGCGTAGCAATTCGTCACAACTTGTAATGTTGCGGTTAGGCATTGGTTTGGGAATTGGTTGGTGGAGGGGTATGGATTTGGATGTGCCTGCCCCTCCAAAATGCTGCTGCAAGGGTTTTACATTAAAGGAACCCAGGGGCTCACCATGCTTTTGTCCGAAACCCCCTGGCAAGGGGCTAGGGCCACACAAGAGCCCCTGGGAGCATTCTGGGGAGAGGTGAGGCATGGTTCCCAATCCCATCTCTTTCCCCAGGTGACTTACCCTTTCTGACTTTGCAGGGGGTGCGAATGTCAGAGCTGTCCCTGTGCGGGGTCACTTAGTCGCTGCCAATGCCTAAGCAACCACTCACATTGCTGTAATTTTAATAAAGTTGTGGCCAAAATTATGCCCAAAACAAAAATTTAAGTGTCATTGTGTTTTTATTTGGGGTGTCTTGGGGACCTCGATGCACAAAGTTTAAATGATGTGAAAGGGACAAACATTAACTTCCTACCTTAGAGTATACAGGATCTTCCCATCATTCCATATTCTCAGGAGCTGATTAGGTGTAGTAATCCAATGAGCTTCTGCAGTTTTAGAATTCCTGAAGATAGTATCTGGGATCCATATTAACCCAACCATATTGCTGTTCAGGGTGAGACTTCTTTTCATGGTGCTGTTAAAACGAAGGCGGCTGTCAGTCCATGTCTGAGCAAAAAAAATATCAATTTGGTATTCCTGCAATGAAAGCAGATTAGAACTAATTATTTACAATTGAAAATAGCAGATCACCAGTTTGTAAATATATTAACATTTCACTTAAAACAATCCTTTATTTCTGCCCCCCCATTCCAAAAATAAAGAGGTAATATACTTGGGTTAACTTGTACCACAGCTTTATCAATAGATAACAATAACCTGCAAAAAAATGCTGAAAGACTGAGTGCAAACTGGTTTTGTCTGAAAGTAGAAGCTGCCTCACAACCTCTCTCTACTTTCTCAATTGAGGGTGGGCTTGATTCTGCAGTATTCTGGAGGGGGGAGACCACAATTTGCATTACACATACAAACACCCACTTCCAGTGGCCGCCATATAAGTATTATATCACTGTAACTGTTCCGTTCTCAAGATTGCCTTGTTCCTTAGTATTCCCAAAAGGAACCATGGCAGCTGGATTGTACCAATAGATCATGTTTTCCATTTGTAGTTATAATCAGTGCTTTTTTTCTTTAAAAAAATGTTTAGGGGTACTCTCATTTTGACTCAAGAAAATCACCATTTTATAGTTCAAATCGGGAAAAATAAATACAATAAATGGACAAAAGTACAAGGATTCACAAAATGTTTAGGGGTGTGCATACCCCTGCGTCCCCCCAGGGAAAAAAAGCACTGGTTATAATGCTTTCTGGTGATTCCCCTGTTGTGGGAACCATTATTTGAAAACATGTTAAGATATGTTTACAAGAGTTCACTCAATGTTCCTGCTGTAGAACCTTCATTTGTTGAAGTGGTGCTTTGGGGAGAAGGCCAGTTTACTGGATTATTTCTCCTGATTCTAAAACTGCCAAAGCACCTATCTGTGCACAGTGTAATCCTCACGACTCCTCTGTTCAAGAAACGCTGCCGTGCAGTGCAAAATATTTAAGAAACATTTTAATTTGTGGTCTTGAACATCCCCTCTGCCCTTTTTGCATGTATGCATGCACACAAACACATTATAAAACACAGAACCCCTTGGAAGCAAAATAAGGAGTATAATTCATGAGGAGAAAGATTATGCGAATTTAATAATAATTTCTTTATTTCTAAAAAATACAGTTGGCAATAAAACACATAGAAATGCTCCTTCCCATCACTAATTACCTGGCTGACATTAGAGGTAATAGCAATGTTCTCTCCAACTCCCCCAAATTACAAAAGTTACCATCTGTTGTCATAGTAACTCTCCCCCTCCCCTTCTATCACAGCAACAGTTTCCTCAGTTGCTATAGAAACATATTACAACAGGTTCCTCTTTACAATACTGCCACTGTTCTTTCTCCATACTGAAGAATCTGGTCCTTGCCACTGATGACTATCTCTGTACATGACACTGGAATCTCCTAGAAGTGTGCCTTGTGCAAATTTATCACACAGTGGACTGCCCAGTTAGCCTGTACCAGTGCTGCAGTTAGTTGGAATCTGTAAAAACACAGATGCACGAGGCTAGTTTCAAAATTACTGCTTGTCTCTAGTGTACATTTTATGCCTGTTTTAAGACCATTTTGCTCCAAATCAATCATGAGACTTGCAACATGGTTTTCTAACTACTGGATCAATATAATTTACATTAAAAAAAATAAGGATATTTTGCACACAATTGTTCAGTAAGACTAGAAGAGCAAACTCAGGTTGCGCAATTAAAGGGCACCTGGTGCTCTTGTGCAACAAACCTGCTTCAGAAAGCAAAGCAAAACAAAACAGAACCATAAGGAAAGTGATGGATAGATAAAGAGGAAAGTATAGTCTCCTTTCAAACAAATTAGAATTGGTCAGTGAATGGGTCAATGCCACATAACTTCCACACAAACTTTCTGTGAACAAATCAGGATGAATGCTCAATATTCAGATAATCTAGATTAGGTTCAATAAATAGCTATTACCAACATCATAGCATCCCAATTAAAAAACTCCAAATGATTGCTGAGAATAAGAGAACCCTGGTGGTTTTAAGAGTGCAATCCTAATCAGCAGACTGATTGGCTGGAAGGTGTTTGAATGCGGCAGAAGTGCCCCTCTGCCAAATCCACCACAGAGGATGCTGCTACACCTGTGGAAAGTCAGAAGAAAGCACTGGTGCAGCTTAAAATTGGCTGCTTGCCAGCTCTGAATTCACAACTAAGTAACTTTGTACTAATGGTGCAACTGCTTGAATTGATTCTATCTCTACCCATTATGGCCTTGTGTCTTGCAGCCCTCCAGCTCTAATCAAATGCAAACACGGAAGGTAAATGTAAATTTAATCAGCAGTCAGAAATTGTCCAGATTTACCCATTAGTCAAACCTCTTGAGAAAATAAAAAAAATCAACTCTAAGAACGTCTTCATGTTTCAGTTGTATTTGGTAATTAAAGTGCTTTCCTTTTGCCCTTGTAAGGGAAGCAGCATACTTTGGCCCAGTATTTGTGGCTGCAGCATGGAGTCTATTATGGCTGTCAGAGACCATTATTCCCTATCAATGCTTCAAAATGCTCTCTGTTGCTCTGACAGATCTCAGGGGCAACTTTAGATATGAGGCAACACACCTCTTCAAATGGCAGTTCCTGGCACTACATGAAAGCTCTCTCAGAACTCTGTTAATTTATTTATTATTATTATTTAAGAAACATAATCACGGGTGAGATAATGGGTAACTTTTGAAGATAACTCAAGCATTCTCCCATTCCTCATGGCAACAGAAGGTGGTCCCATACCTTAGCAGAAGAAATAATGAGGGTTACCTCTGAGAAATCTAACTGAATTTCCCCTGCCTTCCCTAAGAATATTGCCTGAGGAGAAACTCCCAAAGATGTTCAGAGCATCATTTACCCCCCAAGGAGGCTTTCTGACACCTGCCACTCACTTTCCCTTCTTCAAGGTGAGGTTTCACTTTTCCCTTTGTTGAAGGGAAGGGATAGCACAAGTCAAGCTCAAGGCTGAAGGAACGGGGGCGTCTGATCAAGGTGAAGTTTGCCCACTATGCTTTCCACTCTTGTAATTCATTTGAGCAAAAGTGCTCACATAGCCAAGTAACCCCACTTGGATTTCCGACCCTATCCCCAACTCTAACTTTGGAAACCTCGCTCAGGTTGGTCTAATTGACAGCACACTGTTAGCCCAGGCCTCACACATGCACTCTGCTATTTGTCCTGGAAACTCACCCCCAGTTCTGATGGTAGTTTCCTAGTCGCATTTTAAAGATCAGCCAAGAGGACTTCCCTTCGTAATGGCACCTCTGCACTAACTCTCCACAGCAAGGACTCACAGAAAGGTGTCCCTTCTGGCTGCCTTCCAGTAATGAAATCCCCATCCCTGGGAAACTTGCCAAATGGGATCCATATTTAATGCAATGATTTAACAGCATTTTATCTATGCTTCATATTGAATGTAACTTGTACCAAGCTTCTGAGATTAGGTAATGCAATAAATAGAGAGGTGAAGTTCAGTGGCCCGCTATTAAAATCTTTGCAATTCTAAAACGACTAGATGGTTCTAAAAAGGTTAGACAGCAGCTATGTACATGCGGCATTTAATTCCAGAATCAATGGAGACTGAGTACTTGTTTTTTCTACATAGCCCACACCCAATGAAGATCCATTGCATTTTTTTTTTGTCCCGAACAGCTCATTGGAGATTAATTCTGCATTAGGTTGCGGTGTGTCTATTTAAAAACCAATGAAAATTGATGCAGGTGGATCCAGCAACTGCCCAGTGATGTTGCGAGTAGGCATACAGTATGTCAAGATCACAATTACCACTTCCTTATTCTTTCACCTGGGGTATGTGAAGGGAGGAAAAGGCGCTGTGGGTTAAACCACAGAGCCTAGGACTTGCCGATCAGAAGGTCGGCGGTTCGAATCCCCGTGACGGGGTGAGCTCCCATTGCTCGGTCCCTGCTCCTGCCAACCTAGCAGTTCAAAAGCATGTCAAAGTGCAAGTAGATAAATAGGTACCGCTCTGGCGGGAAGGTAAACGGTGTTTCAGTGTGCTGCTCTGGTTCTCCAGAAGTGGCTTAGTCATGCTGGCCACATGACCCGGAAGCTGTACACCGGCTCCCTCGGCCAATAAAGCAAGATGAGCACCAGAACCCCAGAGTCGGCCACGACTGGACCTAATGGTCAGGGGTCCCTTTACCTAACCTGATCAAGGGGACTTTTCAAATGTGTCCCAAGTGACCACACCCACCCTTATAGAAGGCAGGATCTAGAAGTCACAGAATCATAGATTTTGACGGGACTCTGAGCATCATCTAGTTCAACCCCCTGCAATGCAGAAATATGCAACTGGATCAAACCCGCAACCATGGCGTTATCAGCACCAGGCTCTTAACCAACTGAGCTACCGGTCAATCTAGACTGAAAGCAGCACATTGAAGATGAGCGTGAACTCTTTTGGAATGAGAAAAAACTGCATTGTTGTGTGACAAATGGGATAGCGGGGACACAGCCTGAAAATACAACTAACAGGTTGCTTTTGACAATCTCTGCAGGGTGAACAGATTCAAAGGACAACAAGAGTCCTGGGTTTCAAACAGATCCTGAGAAAATGAAGTTTCAGTAAATGGAAAAATCTCATCCCTGCAACTGTTAAGGGAGCAGGGGCCCTGTTCTCTTTTGCATCTGGTGGTCACCCTTGAACTTTGCTAGCTATAGGAATCTGACCTCATGCACCGTACTAGTATTACACTTAGGCGTCTCTGCTTGAGGATATCGATGCCTGTGGAGCAATAATTGGTGTTGGGCCAGTAGGCTGCTCATTGGGCTAATTATTTGGGGAATATTTTTCTCCTATCACATTAATTTTTTTTAAGCCATTTGTCCTCTGATGTCTTTGATTTGAGGATTAGCATGCAGCATCAATGTACAGTCCAAACAGAAACAGCTCCAAATACTGTTAGTGGTGGTAGTGAAGGATTAGAATGGGAGGTTGGTGCAATCTTCTATCAAGATGATAACATACCACCTTGCAAGCCAACCAACCGAATTATCAGGATGAAAAAC